GCGGGCCGGGTGACTAATCCCCTCGCTCCGCCGCCCCCCGCCCCGGCTCATTGAGCCTACGGGACCTGAGGGACTGCGCCGAGGACGCGACCACCCCCCACGCCCGCCTGCCTGCGCCTGGAGGTGCAGGCGTGCCTGGTGAGGGAGGCCGGGCCGTGGTAGGCTGCCCCCCACCCCGGGGTAAGGAGGAAGGCCCTCTCCCAGGGACTCTGGGTGGGCGGTGGGAAGTGCCGGACTCTGCTCTCCTGGGTCCCCACTGACCCCGACCCTCACCCCACCCAGTGCAGGGTGTTCAGCCGTAGATCAGCCCTGACAGGCCCCCCACATCCAGACCCCCCCTTCCTTGAGCTGCAGGTTTCGAGGGGCTTTCGTGTGCACAGGCGCACTCCCGAGTGTCAGCTGTGAGTCCCATCTGTGACCTCGAGTTCCTGCCCACCCCTGCTCCGGGGGCCCTTGGGTCCAGGCCCTGGACTGGGCCCCCTGGGCTGTGTGTGCAGGGTATGCACCCAGGCCCCTGCCGCCGATGTGGATGGGTGAGGACCGCGTGGCGATGCCTGGGGGGGGGGACTGCCCCGTGCCCCGCTCCCAGGTCTTTGCTGAGGCCCAAGACTTCTCCATTTAGGGCCCCCAGGGAGACCTGGACGCTGGTCCCTGGGGAGGGCGTGGGGAGGAGAAAGTGGGTGGGAGGGAGTCCTGCAGCCCACCGCAGGGGGCTGGGCCCTGAATCCCCCAGGCCACTGCGGGACCCTGGTCAGAAGCTCCAGGACTTCTAAGAAGGTGGCAGGGGGGGCGGGGAGGAGGGAGGCAGGAAGGTGCCGGCAGCCTTGCAGTCAGCAGAGGCAGAGGAAAGCGAAGCACCATATAAGGAGTGGGGATCCGGAAGCGAGATTCCCCTCTGCCTCCCAGCAACAAGCGGGGGAGAGGGACCTGCCTCCTGGGCTGCCCCACGGCAGGTGGGTCCGGGCCCCAGGCCTTCCGACGTTCCCTGTGCACAGGTAACACATACGCTGCCTACGGCCAGAGGCCCACAGGCACAGGCAGTGCCAGTCAAGTCACCTGAGCCCTGCTGCCGTTTCTGTCCCCTCTGTCACACACACACGCTGCACACTCATCCCCCAGTCATACCCCCCCCACACGTCCCCCCACATGCACACTCATCCCCTCCAGCCCGCACCCACACACACAGACAGCTGCCCTCTGTCTCGTTCACACACTCAGGTGCCCGCCGCACCCACTGGGGTCCCCACCCCCACGGCGCCCCCTCCCCACCCCGAGCCAATCTGTCTCCTCCTTTCCTTTCTGGGCTTCCGCCCCTGCGGCAGGGGGAAAGTCTTTGTGGCAAAAACTCCCCCAAACGGCTCTCCCGGCATTTCTAATTCAGGGCGAGTGGGCGGGCAGAGGTGGGCGGCG